TCATTTTTTCAATTAAATCTAACATTGCAGGTATGATGCGCGTCCACTATTTGAAAGCAAGCACTTATGAGGAGCAATAAAAATTAGAGAATCTTTTTCAAGTAAGAGTTTCTCCGCCAAGAAAGAAGTTGATACTAGCTGTTTCATGGAAGCCGCCGGATCCAGGGTGTTTTATTTTAAATACAGATGGCTCAGCTAGGGGAAGTCTAGGAGAAGCAGGATGGAGTTACATAGTTCGAGGTGATCGAGGTAATTTGATTAAAGCGACTTGTGGATACATTGCAAATCATTTTAGTCTTTATGTCGAAATATTAGGAATCTTGGAAGGTCTTCGTTATTGTGAGAGTCCTTCTCCAAACAGATAGCAAAGTCACTATTGACATTCTTCATAGAGGGGAATCTTTTCCTTAGAGATACTCTGATATTTTACTTGAAATCATGAGCATTATCAAGAGAAATGACTATCAATATACGCATGTTTATTGGCGGATGCTCTAGCTAAGTTTGGATCGGAAGGAGCCTCAATGGAAATCTCAGAATTCCAGTCGCTTCCCAGCAAGGTTAGAGGACTACTCTACCTTGACCAAAGATCATTTCCATACCTAAGAATAAGATTATTCTATTTGTAATAGTTAGCTTTTTATTGTCAAGGAAATATAAATGTAATTTATTAGAGTTGCTAGGAGATTCTTGAAGGATCTGTTTAAATCAGACTCTTAGAGTATTTACTTTTAGTATTTCAAGTTGGAACTGTCAGGGGATATTAGAAAATCTTTGTAAGACAGTTCTTAGCGTAAGGTTGCACCAGAACCGTTAGGGGATTTTAGAAAATCTTTGTACAACGGTTCTTCCTTTAGGCTAAGTCTTAAGCACTGCCCCTTGTACCTTTTATTTTTTAATTAATAAAATTGGGGGGATGTCTACCAGGTACAGCCCTGGTTCACCTAAAAAAAATTAAGAAAAAACAACAACAACAACAACAACAACAAGGTGGTTTGCCCAAGAATTTTCAAGAGGCTTTTAGCATACCAAAAGTTAGCTACTAAATGCACCTCAGCCCCCTTATCAACTTCTCACGTGGAGGTTGACTGCCTAGAAGATGGCAAGTATACAGTTGACCTGGATGCAAGAGAATGTAGTTGCAGAAAGTGGCAGCTCACATGTATTCCATGTATACATGGAATATCTGCTATATGGTCTATAAAAAAAACCCTATTGTTTATATTAATCAATGCTATTCTATTGAAGTATATAAAATGTGTTATGAATCTTTTATCTATTCTTTTAGAGAAGAAACAAATTGGGAATGGGATAAGGTGGTAGAGCCTCCTATATTACCTCCTATTAAACGAAAGGTGAAAGGAAGACCCACTACCAGAAGGAGAAGAAGTACTGCTGAAACAATAGTCAATCAGGAAAATAAGGAGCGAAGATTGTCTAGAAAAGGTCAAAGAAATCATTACAATAGATGTGACAGGGGCCACAATACCAGGTCATGCAAAGTAAGTCCTGCATATGATTTGGGTGCAACTTCTGAAAATGGTTCAGGGGAAAACTTGTCAGCTGAAGTGCATGTTGGTGATGGGCCCACTGTACTGAGGTCCATTTGGATGCTCACGAAAGTTCAAGTGAACTGAAACTTTATAGCATTGCAGATATTCATGTTTAGGTGTGTGAGGACCTTGGCTTACAAAAAGAAACTGAGGTAAGTTTTAGTTGATGCAATCATTTTATTACTTAAAACTATACATAATCATACTAACATGATGATGTTTGCAGTTTGAAAAGCATTTAGCTGATGTGTTGCATGACATTGAGCAGCTTAAACCAGAGGTATTTTGAGTTATGTTTCGTCTAGCTAATTATTGGTTTATTGAGAAGCCTACAAATGAGTGTATTTGAAAACATATGTGATAGATAAAAACAAGATGCTAGAACATGATGTTGTGATGTTGCAGTATGCTGATGAACAAAGCAGACCAATGATACATATGGGACGTGATCCACCAAAGAAATCTGATAAGGCTAAAAGAGAAAAAAGTCTCGGAATTTATAATTCCAAGGGAAACAGGTAAACTACCTAAACCAAATGATATCGACAAAAATCCTCAACAGAAAACAAAAAAACAAAAGAGAGAATATTTTAGGTTTGTGAAGAATTTTGGTTTTTTCTTTATTTTTTTTTCTTTTTTTTTTGTTTGTTTATGGTGAAGATATACTAGTTCTGCTACTTTATTTCAGTAGAATTGGAATAAAATAGTTTGAGTACTTATTATCTTAAGGCTCATAATATTGACATGCTGCTAGTTCATCTCAACATGAGAAAAAGGTTCCCAAATTTGAAAAAGGATGAATTCAGCGAACATCAAGTTCACAACCTTCCTTCAAACTGGTTGATGAGAATATTGATGAAGATCCTAGTTATGTCTTTTGATTGACAATTCTAATAGTTAATCAGCCCACTTTTCATTAGATGTATATGCATCCAGTTTCAAATTCATTGTCTTGAGATTAGTATCCTATCTATTATGAGATTACTATCATTAGGTATTGTACGAAAAAAAAATGTTTTCTAACATACTTATTACTCGCTAACAATATTTAAATATAAGGGATAAGTATGCGTATAGAACATATCGAGTTTTTCATTGTTGTTGTTCTCTTACACCCCTTATAGTAACAAAATACATGATTAATGATGATTTATAGTTATAATTATATTTCAAATATTTGGTTTCATGTCAAAAGATGACAACAATTTGTTTTGTAATAAAGGATGGCAAAGAGGAGTATATCATTTTAGTTTCTGAATCCCGTGCCACACTGGGATGATGAGATATGAGTTGTTTACGTATACAAAGTATTATGATGTGAGCATATCATTTTATAAAATGTTTTGTTTTTCGTATTAACGTTCCTTATAAATTTTAGTTCCAAAACCTCGGCAAAAAATTTGCAAGTTCAATTCTTCATAGACTATTTGTGGGAGCGAAATGTACTTCTGATCGATTCTTCTTTTGAATTCCTAGAATAAGGTAATTATTGTCTCTCTTCTTTTTCATATACATTCAACTTTTCTTATTAATTATTAATTTCTCTGTAAAATATTTAATGGTAATTCTTATCACTATTCTTTAATTTATATGCAAGTCATACAGATTCTTCTTTTTTCTACATCATGTAAATTCTCTATCGTTATTGTTGTTAAATAATAAGTTGTGTAACGAATTTTTGGGTGTTAGTTTCTTATCAAAAAGGTATTGCAATTAGCTAACATTTTCATAAAAAATTTTCTTTATTTTATTGTTTCTTTAGAAAAATAAAAAATTTGATTAACCTGAATTAGTTTAACACAATAACCATTCAGGATGAGAATATGAGTTAGTATTGTTAAGTAATTTGAGTGATCAGGAAATTAATGGTACTTCTAATGTTTCAAAAATTAAAAATTACATAATTTTACATTGTTAGTTTGATGATTTGAATACTTCGTTAAAGTCATGCAAATTATTTCAAATTACTTTTCTTGCTAAATCGAGAAAAATATGTCATGTTGAAAAAAAGTGATCCTAAATCGGTAATTAAGATAACAAGAATAATAAAGAAAATTTTTTTCTAATGAATTGAAGTACCAACAATAGGAGAATCACCACAGAAGATAGATGTGGTTTGTTCATATTAGATATTTTACTTAAGACAGTGCCGTCACTATATTGCCAACTATATGTGATTGACAATTTGCCTCTACAACACTAAAAACATAAAAAGACACAATTTTGTAATCAATGAATCTTCTCTAAAAATTTAGTAATGCAAAAGGTTAATTAAAATCGGCAATGGCTTACCTATTTATAGAAAATACTTGCATAACCATTGAGAACTCAAAGGATGTGAATTAAGGTATGAAAACCTTGAGTGTTAATCCAATAATCACAACTTTTGTTAAGAGTTGCAAACTTTTTGCATAATCAGTTGCAATCTTCTTAACCTAATTGTCATCCTTAAAATTCAGAATGTTTATTTTATATCATAAACTAAATCTTCAACGTTCCTCCCCTCCCCACACTTAGTTTGTGATGTAAAACGATCACAAAATTGCAAGAATCATGCATAAGATGCGACAGTTTTTCATTTTAAACCTAACTATACTGAAACTAAATTACCTAATTAGCTAAGTTATTGGTTGCTTGGTTCTTAAATTAATATTCAAACTAGTATAGACTTAAAATTGCATGAGTGAATACTTATAGCATTCTTTGTAATTTACATTATCATTTAGTACTAACATCGGCATGTTTATTATTAATCGAACAAGCGTACATATTATCATAATATGTCTACTCCTGATTACCTTTTGTATACGTAGACAAGCATCAGAAATATGTCAAAGTGATTGGTACTCAAAACCCTTTTAAGGCGCTTAAGAAACTCAACATATTTTGAGATATTTCTTTTATTGCAATATATGTATTTCCAATATTTCTTTTATTGCAATATATGTATTTCCTATAATAGCCTTGTGTATAAGGTTTTGTTATTGACTAAATCATTTAGGTTGTTCTCTTGCTTAATTTTGTATAACCGGATTGTTATGTGGTGTATATGATTCAATATTCCTCAAACATTCTCTTAATTTGTGCAAGTCTAATAATTTTTTTTACATCCTAAGTTGATATCAATTTATCTTTTCGTATTCAATCAATTCTTCTTGATAAAACAACGAAATCATATTAGACATTATTGTTAACAATTCAACATAGAAACTCGTGACCCAAAATCTGAACAAACCCATAACTTTTAGCTAGTCTTTTAAAATTTTGTAACCCCAACATTAATGTAATCCTTTGATAGGCCCATTAGGTTTTTTTGAACCTCTTCGGTTCCACTATATAAATAGCTAAATCTTTCTCCCAGCCTCCTTACTCGGCCTTCTTACATTTTATCAGAAGCACTTGTTATTGCTCTCTGGTTTCTCTAGTTTTCAGAAAATTGAAAAAAAAATGGATGAAAAGAAAAAACTTCAAGTTCAAATATCTATTTCTGATATCAAGATAGTTAAGAGATCTGCATCAGGAGCTAAGGTCAAGAGATTTGAGAAACCTAGTTCGGGAGACATCCCAAGCGTTATCGATATCCCTCACAGGACAACGATTGAAGTTGTCATCTTTAAGGATACAAATGGGGTGAGTTCAATGTATTTTTTGGCCGATTCAAGAGAATTAGGATGACAATGTACGTCGTTATAGAGATCATTATTCTGTTCTTGGTAAGGAAGACATTCAGAAACTGAGGACAATTGACTATGTTTGTCCAGTATTTGCGGCAGGATGTGGGTATGGTCCAAATTGTGATGCTGCCACACGTTGTCTTAGGGACAACGCCATGTCCTCTTTATGCTTCTCAATTTATAAGAGATATTTTTTTGAAAGAAATAAGGCATGGAAGAATGATTCAGATAGATCTTATGATATGTGGCATAGATGCTTTCAAAGAACCTGAAACTATTGTTGTAAGCAGTGACGGTAGCTGGGGAAGGGTCAAAAAATACTGGGCAATCGGTAGTGGCGACGCAGTTGCTATGGAGATATGGAAAAAGGCTTATTCATCAAATGGAGTGATACACAAGAGTATTGCCTATGAAAATGCCCGTAACACTAGCTGCTTCTGTGGACGGGGCAACTGGTGGTCATATTTTAAGTAGGTTTGTGGATGGATATTGGGTTCAATGAAATCCATTTGGAAGGGTGCCCCCTATTGGTCAGCTAAACTACCTTGTGTACAACTGTTTCCCCCCATTTGTCTTCCGACACCCTATAGTGATGTGGTTTTGAATGTTTTCTCCTAGCCCTCTCCTCGTGAGGTTCTGCTTGAGTTGGCTAGAAACAGAAACAAGATCCCTTTACCAAAAAACTGTCGACTAGAATTCCACTCCCTCCGGAACTGGAATTCCTCTCAAACTAAACAATGATCTTAGAAAGTTTTTTCTAAGCCTTATTTCTTGATTATGGTATTATAGATTTGAAAATAGGAAATGATTTTGATTTAAATGTTAAAAGTTTGAATTTTTTCTTAAGCTTCTAATGTTACATTTAAAAAGGGGGGAGGGTTTGTTATTAACTATATATACTGTGTTTATTGTACATGAGAATATAATAAAATGCAATCCATGTTATTCTAACTTTTTTGGCGACTTTGGCTATGTATTATTGCTTCGAATGAAAACATCTTCAAGCTTTGATCAGATCTTGAAATGTAGACACTTTAAGTTCAAGTTTGTTATGATTATAAGACATGGAGGAAGATCTTCAAAAGTATACATGAACGAGATAATGATGGTAACAACATTGTAAATTTGAAACAACACGGTGACATAAATTATACAAGAAATTGCTCTAAAAGTACTAAATAGTTGCTTGTAATATTTAATTTGTTCAAAACTAAAAATTTCCGATGTTACTATGTGTCACTACAAACTTAAATAGTATTTCTAACCATTTTTTTGTTAGGAAGTTTTGAAAAATCAACGGTTAATATTTTTGCGCGTGAGATGTACGTGAATTGACCGAAGGACATTAAGTGTCCATATAAAAAATTTGACTCGAGTCTTCTTTATCACGTGACTTGCATTTGACTTCACAAATATTGGAACTGTTGATCTATGCAATCTGTTGTAAAAGTTTGAAACTAGTTTTAGTTATTCGTTTGGATATGATGGTTATATATTGCCCATTTTAGAGCAACAAGATTTCATTTTCACATGGATTTGGCTAAACATGAAGAACACTAGGTAAGAATCTTCTTTCCTTCTCGGTTTGATGTAGGTAACTTTTAAAGAAAAAGAAAATAAAAAACATGTTATAGATGAAATTTCTAAAGATAAGGAAGATGAAACCTAAGAGTAGTGTGATCAAATTAGATAAGAAACGTCGAATGAGGAGGAAGAAGGAAAACAACAATAACAGGAGTTGGGATGAAGAAAATAAGAAAGAACAAAATCAAAAAGAGGAGGAGGAGGAACACCAACACTCTGCTGGGGTGATCCATACAACATTCTCGTGCTCTTGGACGATGCAAACATGTTTTGAAGTAAGATGTATGGTATGAGAATTTGAATAAAGATATGCATATCTTATAAAATTGGTGATTATTTGCTATGTGTATGTCTTTAAAATATTTGAAGGCGAATCTTGTAATCACATTATAAGATGTTTTAATCTTGTACTAGTTATTTGACATCTTTATTAATTCTATCCGCCTCAGATTTCAGCTTGCCTAGTGCTTCTTGCAGATATAGGAAATTAAAAAAAAAACATGAATTTATGAGATTCCATTTATTTGTAAAAGCATACATATATAGTTCATAAGTACTTGATTACTATTTTAGTTATTAAACTATACAAGTGATTGGAACTTATCTCTTGGTTATAAAGCCTAGAGAACGACATTGTGGCAAACGAAAATTCCGCATCAAGAAGAGGAAAAAAATAACAAATTAAGAGAGAACCTTAGCAAGATTCATAAAGAACTAATGAAGAGAAAACTTACCTTCCTCGCTCATGCTTGGGAAGATTCACATATCTTGTCATGACATCCTCAAAGCCTCCACAAAATCCAAACCACAGAAGCAAAGGGTTAGAATTTCGGAGATGTTCATCTTTGTTTAAGCATTACTTGATAGTGAACAAACACAAAGAAAATAGAAGATCAAATTGATGACAAGAGAGAAATCAAAGATAAAAAAAAAAAAAAAAAAGAAAAAAAGATGGAGTCTATAACTAATTTTAGCTCATTTTTGGACCATTTGTCTAGCTAACACCTTTATTCCCAGAGAAGATGTTGAGTCTTCCAGAAGGGGAAAACATGATGAGAGCAACATCAACATCACAGAGTACAAAAAGCTCAAAAGCTTTCTTGATTAGCCCATTTCTTCTTTTTGAGAAAGTGACCTGCCTATTTGTTGTATTCTCAATTCTCTTGATCTGTAGCTTCACTCTTTCCATATCTCTGTTTTATCCTTTAAATATCTTAACAAATACAAACAACTAATCGATTTTGATTGAAATCCTTTTTTCCCTTTTCTTTTTTTAGGGCAGGATACTATATATAGTAGTATAGCAAAAGAAGTACTAATTTTCTCGATACTAAAGAGTTTCCCGATGATCAGCTCGGATGAGTATATATCTGTCTCTCTAAAAGAAATCTGATGAAAATATCCTTTCTTTATAAAAATAAATATATATGGTCTTATATTTAATATTTAATACAGAGAGAATTATATTGATTGCAGATCCAAAAAGGGTTGGTCTCTTCTGAAGATAAAGGGAGAGGAGGAGAAGAAGGAGAGAAGCTGGAAGGGGGGAAACGTGAAAAAATAACAACATTAGAGAATGATTTTGGCATTGTCAGGAAATTCAGTACAAGTTGACGAGAGGATCTTTGATAAAAGATGCAAAATGGCGGTGTATTTCCTCATATGTTAAGTATCAGTCTTCAATTTGTTTAAGTCAGCCATGACTGCACCACCTCCCGCCACACCAAAAAACTATATATAGTAAATAATCTTTGGTCTCTTAGAAAGAAATTAGAACCTTAATATTTCCTAAACATTGAATGTTTATCAACCTCACAAGATCTTCTAATTTGAGCTTAAAGATACTGCTTAGTGTTTATTAGCCGCTTTTTAAGTAGTATTTATTTGCATCGAATAGCATTTCTATACAGAAACAAATAACATTTACCTACTATTCATATACTTTGGTACATGTAACTTAGTACGAAAAGTACTAGGTAAGAAGAGCGTATAACAACCAAACTGCTGTCATATAAGATCAAATCAATAAATCAATAGAACTCAAGTTTTTTGTGCTGCTTGAATACAAAAAGCCTTTGTGAAATTCTTTGTAGATATTATTTTATAAATCACCTTATAGGAAGATACTTTCTACGTATATTAGGCAAACATGCTGAATTAGACGAAAAATATAAACTAGTAGGATAGAGCACACTAGTAAAGATAATCGATTCAATCATAAATTTGAACACGAATCAAATTTAGCATCTTATCATCGATATTATATTTCTTTTAAAATAACCATGTACCACGTATGCATTTAAGTTAATCGATTCGGATACAAATATGGTAATACAGTATCAAGTCCATTATGATTAATGTCTTTTTTTCTTTCAAAATCTTTACTCAAAATTTATAACCTCACTAATACCTTACTCTACACAAAATAAAAAGGAAATAAGTCTTACTTGGTACAATATTCATATTGCCTCTAGGAAGGCAATAGCTTTTTTTTTTAGATGTCAAAAAACTATAATAGATATCTCAAAGTATATCGTGATCTTAGTCTACAAAAGAACTACCTCTCAAGTAACAAAGAACAACTACAAATGTCTCAGTTTGATAAAAACTACACAAATATAAGTTTCTTCGTCCAAATTACTGGATTAACTACTAATTTGCAAAAATTGAATATATATTTTGGTGGTGTGTCGGAGGAAAAGCAAAAGGAGATCAAAGATATTTTAGGGTTTTAGAGTGGCTCCTTCCCCATATGATTTTTAGGAGCGCCCGTCTCTCTAAATGCCTAGAAGCAGGAAGACTGTCAGGGAATTGTGAACAAAATCACGACTAGAATAAGATGTTGGTCTACCAAGCATCTTTCTTATGCATGTAGACTTGTATTGGTTAATTTTGTCTTACTGAATTTGCATATGTATTGGTCTGGGATCATTTTATTACTGTAGAATGTGATAAAACAAATAGAAAGATACTATCGAGAATTCTTATGGGGTCAGAAAGAAACAGACAGGAGCTGGTCTTTGATAGCATAGGGTGAAATTTGCAAAAAGAAGAGCGAGGGAGGTCTGTACATTAAAAAACCAGGCATTTGGAAAATGGCTTTGCTTGGAAAGCGGATATAGGACTTGGCAAATCAAAAAGAAAGTTTATGAATACAATGGCAAATCAAAAAAGGAATGAGAAATTGGGATTATAAATGATAGCAATCATGAACCAAACTAACAATTATCATAAATGAAACTTGGCTCTGATGACAAACTGATAGCGACTTGTAGTGCGAAAGCATTTAATCTAGAAAAAACTTGAAGATTGGTATGATAATTTGCCCCATTTTGAGAGAGGTCTTATAGTAGACCACCTATGAAACAGATGCGATGGTAATATGCTCCTAGAAACCAATATACAATTCCAACTTGTGGAAGATCAACTTGATTATAAAGTTTCACCTTTCTAACCGCTATGAATCAAGAACCTTAGCTATGAAAGAATCAAGACCCATAATCTAAAGTGAAAGAACAATGATAGCTATGAATGCCACAATTGAAAGAAGCACTTTTCAATTGATAAGTCCCTTAGGAAACACAAAACATAATTTTACAATAACCCGTCAAGTGAGGTAGCAACTCAACACTAATTCTAATAAAAACTCAACTTCTTTACAATGAAGAATTCGGCCCTATTTATGGATTAGAGGGAGCACGAATTTAGACTTTTAAAAAGATAGAAAAGAATTTCCTAATCATCCTAATATCATTTTTTAATGAGATAAGATAGGGATTGACAGCTAAGGCTCTTATCTACTAAGAATCAAATCTTATCTAATCTAACATTTCCATCTTGGACTCAAATACAATAACCCAATAAGGAATCAATATAGAACTCCAGATACAAGTAGATATTCTCTAAAAGAATCTTATCCTAGTGTGAACTCCATCAACTTGATAGTGAAGAATCTTCCTTTAGTGTGAGCTCAATCAATATAAGCTTGTAAAGTGATAATAGACATCCATCTTGATACATATCCATTCAATGATGTATTAGACATAAAATTAAAGACTTCTTATTGAAAAAAAAGAACAAAAACTCGAAATGAAGTACAATGATGAATCTGCCCTTTTTAGTAAAAAAGACAGTTTTAGCCCTGGGGTTTTTGGCCCTTGTAGAGATCTTCTCATATTGAACTTCTTATCATGATTCTCACCATTGATGCCATCAATGAACCTCCTTTAGATAGCAGCTGGCACTGGATAAAGCTTATGAAAGTGAAAAATGAGCTTAGAGGAGTGCTGAATCACTCTTGGACAGGGAATAATGGTAGGCCGTAGACTGCTAAATTTGGTTACATATGGCTCACAGGTAAGCAAGCAAAGTTCATTCCTTTGAAGCATATATGGAATTCTTATGCTCTGCCTAAACCCAGCTTCATATGCTAGATGACTGTGGAAGGAATACTGCTCACCCAGAATAGATTACGGCAACTTGGTTTGTTGCAAGAGACTGAGAAACGTGAACTTTGTTCAGGTAATGCAGAAAGCATTGATTATCTCTTCTTTTATTGACCTTATTCTCAAGAACTTCTTGACTGTATCAAGCGTTGGTTGAATGTATCTGTTTCCCTATCATGTCTGAGGACAAGAGTTAATAGGTTGAAAAAATTCTGGCAAGGGAAGAAGGTTAGACAGAAATTGTTTTTTGCTTTGTTAAATGCAGCAATCTATTATATTTGGATCGAAAGAAATGGTAGGAAGTTTAGAAGGGAATCAAAGGTGGCAGCTGAAATGTTTGATCAATTGAAGAAAGAAATTTACTAAAAGTTTCAGATTCATTGTAGGAAGGGTAGTGGGGATGATATCAGATACTTTAGACCAATTAGTGTTATTACTTTATGTAATCTAATAGAATGTCATAGTTTGATAGAGTATCTAGTCATTCATTCATTCTATAAATTAACACAGTTGGGCCCTTTTCATTGATAGAGTTTTTAAAATAAAATTATTCAGTTTAGATTTTTACTTTAGTATAATTTTAATTGAAAATAAAAAACTAATTAAACTGGACAATTGATATTCTATCAATGACATTCAAATAAGTAATTCATCGAAAATTTTATGTTAATTTTATAATAAAACTATGTAATGAAAAAGCATGGTACATGGCTTGACACGGTTAAAGGCATGAAATGACCACGAAAAATTATGGTGAGAGTTCTTACCAAGTTTTGTATAAAGGCCAACAAAGTATGTAGGACAAAGTGAAAAACAAAAGAAAAAAAGAAGAAACTACTACCTCCAGTCCCAATTTATAAGTTACAAATCAATCGGTACCATCTAATTTGACACTTTGAAATAATATGTCATGAAAATGTGATTTCTAGTCTGATTGTAAGATTTCAAGTGATTTTTAAATTCCAAAATTCAGGAATCAGATTCCATGTAACAGAACGAGAGTTCACTAGTATGTAAAAAATGGTTTTATTTACGAGACGTGGACTTACCAAATTTCCTCTACTAGAATTGTGTGTGTGTGAATGGACCTTATTTAAATTGAACTTAACATTAAACTATGTACATATGTGATCTAATCAATTAATAAAATTTATGTTTCAATCTTAAAAGCTAAATGCAACAAATTAGTTTGTTGTTCGGTAGTATAGAATAGAACCAATGTGAAACAATTTGATAGCTCCGAAACTTGCTTGCTTCATATGATGAGTTGCTTTAGCAAGCAATTGGGCTTAAACACAAACCAACCTCCTTCATCATGTTCAAGTACTTTTTAGTTTGTGATAACCATCTTTCCCGATGGATTCAATCTTTTTGTGTAGTGGTCATAATCTCCCTATATACCTGTATTTCCCCTATCAGTTGGCTTCTTGCATCTTGTGTTGTCTTCCATTTCTTAGAGTCAAAGATTGTTCCCTCTTTACTTCAAACCTATTTCGAGTTTCAGAGAGCTTTTGGTTTGAGTTTTTTATTTTCTTTTCCTGTGATGATTTAACTTAAATGAATCCTTTCAATCCCTATCTTTGTCCATTTCCTGTGATATAGCTTAGTCATTGTTTGTCCAACCTCTTGTTTTACTTTTTGACTCATTTTACCTCTTAAACACAAAACACAATGCACTATCTAAAAAATATTTTAATTTACTTTTTAAAATATTTTTTTTTGTCATTATACTATTGTAAAGTCTTCATTTTGGTCACTGAACTATTGTAAAGTCTTTATTGTGTTTGGTCACTGAACTATTATAAAGTCTTGCATTTGGCCACTGAACTATTGTAAAGTCTTGCTTTTGGTCATTACACTATTGCAAAGTCTTCATTTTGGTCACTGGAATACTTTAATTTTATGAATGAGCACTATACTATAATACTTTTCAAATAAAAAACTAAACTAGATTTTAAATCTCCTTCCAAATTCAAATAAAAAACTAGAACAAAATATTGTCCAAACACCACCTTAATTTCTCACTCCTAGGCTTCGGCCGGCCTCTTTCCTTGCAAGGAGAAAAGGGGGAAAAAAAAAAGAAAAGAAAAAAGACCCTTTCGGTTCTTGCTCTTACTTCGTGCCTCGATGGTGGCTGCTTGACGACTTAGCATATGGCAATGACAACCTCTAATCTTGATTTGATTTGTGATTTTAAAGAGCAATATGAATGATTAATCTCTAAGAGCAGCATTTAATATTTGGTGTCTTTAATGATTTTAGCAATAACATTGTGAGAGAATTGCACGATCACCTTTCTTGTTTAATTTGTTAGTTGCTTCTAGAGTTTTGAATGGTGTGATAATTTGTTCTTTGCTGATTTCCTTGGATTAAGTACTTTTGGGATGCTAGAAACCTCCCATTCCCTTGCAATGGATGATTGAGATCAAACAGAAACTAGATCAGGATAATGCATGATCTTCTGCGATGAGTTAAGAATGACTGAGTCAGTGAACTAATTAAAATCCATGGCCTCATGGATATGTTTCATAAATTTTCAAAAAGTGGATTGTTGGAAATGAGATAGCCAGTGCGTTTTCTACTTTCTTTCATGGTGTTAGAGTGTTCAAATACATTAACTTCATTCTGATTACTTTAATTTTTACGTTGAATCCCCTAAAAGAGTTGGTGAATTTCGGCCTAGCTATATTATAACCAACGCAATTTCTGTTTCTTTAAAATAAAATAAAGTTATTCGGTCATTTGGCTAATAAGTAATAGATAGAATTTTTAGTGATAATATTGTGTTATAATCATGGTGTATTTCTCCATGGCTGCATCGCATGGCCACTGCAAATCACCATGCCAAACAGCCGTGATAGCAAAAATGTCAAATAATTCGTCACAAAATTCTACTCACGATAAATATGATTCACCACAATAATTCATTTTTGCTTTAACATCTCTGTTATTCACATATCATTCTTAAATTCAGTTTTTTTTTTTTTTTTGAATATTTCTATTTGTATACGCTCAGTGTAGATGAATTGATGCAAGCCTAATAATAGAAAATTTGAATATGATCAAATCAACATAGATGTGGGAATAATTCAGATTATCCACGTATAATCGGTCAACTCCACCAGTCAATTTTAATTTGTTAATTTACATCTATGTTTTTTATGTGCAAACGTGCAGTTATCTTCCCAAATTTGAACCATTGTAAAAATGTTTCTCTATCTGTCTACAAAAATAGTAGTTCGTATTGTAAATTGAAAATTGTACCAATTTTTTCAGTAACATACAAAATGATGACGATTTTCTTTTCTTTTCGGTACAAAGTAAAGATAAAATTTTGAATATGTACATAATTACCGGAACGAACCTTCCGAACAATTTGATACAGCATAAAGATACATATTGCCTGTGAGTGTGTGGCAGTATGCGTTTCACGCAACCTAATAAATATGCATGAATGATGACGACTTGATTTTGGAATATAGGCTCATCTCATCCGAATTAAAGTGTAGAAATTTAGCAAGGTTTTTCCTTATCATACATGAACCGAAGACTTTCTTAAGAGGAAACAAAAGAAAAGACTTGGAGAAACAAGATGGAACCTGCATATCAAAAAAATGAAGCGTAAAAGAAAAGTAATCTTCCATAGAATCTTTGGAATATAAATTTTGGCCAGTAAGAACTCAAAATTTAGAGTTGACTCAGCGCATTAAACATCGGTCAGCTAAACAACTAGAGAACGCGTCGGAAATACATATGTATGATGAAGTAATATAAATACTGAACGGCAAGTTATTGAGTTGAGAGTAGTTTCTGTGTCATTTGCATTTATGTATGATTAGGCTTAATTATGCGTCAAATTAAATTGTACTTATAATGTTTTTCACGAAATTAAAGATTGCTGGCTAACAAATTCCTTCATATATATACACCTTCGGAACAGCATTATGATTTCCTCTTCCTACTTTTTTTTTTTTTAATTTTGCGATTCCTCTTCCTACTTCTACATACTTTCGATAGCTACTATACGTACACACATGTCTGGCGTTGAAGCGTGAATCTCCGGTTGAGTTGTCGATTCGATTCAATCATTTGAAGGTATTTTCTAATAGGGTTCATTAACCTTTTATCTTCGTCTTCTTGTTTATTTTCATTTTTAGCATTTTTATTTTTGCAATCTCCACTAGTTCTTAATGGAGAGCCCTTGAATAATATGTGTGCCAGGTTAGTTCATTAATTATATTGGATTATAAGCCAACAAACAATGCCTGAAGATCAATCCCCAAATGTTGTAGTTGACATGGAATCGACTCCTTTCATTCTCCAAGAAGATAAAGTGAAGGAAATCACGAGAAAGAAAGATACAACGTTGCTGGATAACGTTGGAGGGGTAGAAGGTGTAATCGGGATCCTCCGTACGGATAAAGAAGAGGGCATCCCTGGTGATGATGATGATCTCAATCGTCGTAGAGAACGATTCGGGTCTAATTCCATCACGTCTTCAAAACATGACCTTCTCAAGGGTTTTTACCTCTGTGCAGTGAAAGCGGTTACGGACCCTCTAATCATAATTCTTCTCGTTTACAGCGTTGTGTACATATGTTTTGGCATAAATGAACGCGGCATAAAATCGGTTTGGCCTGAACGGGGAACAAAACTCCTCGAGATTGTTGCCGTGGTGATCGTCTCAGCCGTGACAAACTTTTGGCCGATTACTCAACTTCATGATGTTAGCTCGGCAGAAGAAGACCATGTTTACTGCCCTCGGGTGGATGTTGTGAGGAACCGCGGCCAAGCGAAAAAGATCCCGGTTTCCGAGGTAGTTGTCGGAGATATTGTGTTCTTGAAACCTGGTGACCTAGTTCCAGCTGCGGGTCTCTTCATAGATGGACACTCATTGAAGCTCAAGGAGTTAACCAACGCTACTAATGAGGAATCCGTCAATCGCGCGGAAGTTGGGAAAAGAAGAAAGCGTGAGAAAGTCGGGCTGAAAAACCGGTTTTTGTCCTCAGGAACAATGGTCGCCAGTGGCGCCGCCAGGATGGTTGTGACGGCGATGGAGGCCGAAAAGCCGATGCAGCCACAACAAGAGGCTACTATGATGGGAGAACATCATGTTGATGAGTTGCGAAATCTGACCGCCATTATAGGTAGGTTTGGTAAGGGTTTCGCCCTGTTAACATTTTTGTGGTTCTTATTTCGCTTCGGTGTTGAGACTAAATATGTTGATGATGACGCGGTGCCGGCGCCGTCGCCAGCACCGGCCACCGCCATTAATGATGTTCAAAAGGCGGATATTGTTGTGTTACTGACTGCCCTTTTAGGGATGTTGGGGACTTCTGCCATTATTGCGTTAACTTCTGGTTTGGAGGGTTTAGTTTTGGCTGTCAAATCCACTCTAGCCTATTCCATGAGGAGCTTGTTACAAAAGCAAGTTCTAATAAAGAAGCCCTCCCTATGCCATCAAGTTGCATCGGTAGATACTATATGTTTCAACAAAACAGAAACCCTAACCTCTGACACCTTTGAGGTAATTACAGTTGCTCAATTCTTTTGTGTCTCATTTAACTAATTAAGGTGGAAATATTTGTTCCCATTTCGCATACTAGCTAGTATAAAAATATCACGATGATTTTACACATATGTTGATTTAGTGACATTTATCTAGTCTACTATATGGAGTCTCACTGTCTGATCCAAATGTACTATTGATGTGGATCGGCAAATTTGTAACACTTCTCCCTCCATTCCAAAATTTTTAGCCAAAACAGAACATGACTTTTATCTTAGGTTGTTAGTTACTTGCTTGTATATGTACTTGGTTGAAAAGTTTTTTATTTTCCTTGTTCTCTTCCTTACTTAAGTTAATATATAGTTAATTAGCCTTTTAAGGGCCTCACAGGGCCTTATTTTTAAATCGGCACTACTATTCAAAATCAATTAAGAATCCTACAGAAGGAGATATAGAAATTTCTTTTGAAGATTTAGTCAAAAACTCAGTTTTTGAAAAATCCTTTGCAAATTGCATTTGGATGAAAGTGACCACCAACTAGACGTTTATCCCTATATAATTTTTTTTTAATGAATGATGAAGCAACCGTAAGTGCCTCAAATTAAAATAGTCAAACGGCTGATTAATTGTTGTCAAAAAAAATCATTATTTGGAAAAGTCTAACCATTGCCTAATTTCAACATCCTTGGTATTTTTCTCAATCATTGCTCAACGATTTCCTACACCATTAAAATCCAAGTCATTGACCAACCACCGTTTCCACAAACAAAAGTAGAGAGCATTCGGTTCAATGTCACCTACCAAAATCAAAGTGAAAATACTTGAAGAGTCAATTATTAAAATAACAATGAGAATTATGAAGAGGTCAATCATTGGCAATTTTATTGCATTGATATTTAATTAATTTACATTATAATATCATCTAAGTGACATAGTCTAATTTTACTCAACAATCACAATAGAACAAGGCTAACGATATTGTCAATACAAGAATTAACCTCTAGAGCAAAAAAAAAATGTCTATCTTACCAAAATTATCTTTATAACAAGTTAAAGTTTCTCCTAATAACTCAAATTACTTCATCATCATCTCCCTCACTTATTCCCCCTTCTTGGCCCTTCACCTCTCTCCGCCCCAGATTTGACCAACTTACAAAGCTCCACCCATTTTTCTTATAAGCCATGGCCGTGGATTCTTTTGTTCTTAAGAAATTTTAATTGCTGCAGAATTTCGTATTAGATAGCGCAAAATACAAATTTGTTGGAAAACATTTTACATTAAATTTCAGATATATGTTTATCATAATGTCAAAATATTTCGGAAACATTTTAATAATTTATTATTACTCCTGTATTTTTTAGATGAGATTTTCATTTTTAATACAGATTAAATAAAAAATAAAAATTCGAAGTGGATAAATTATTTTAGGTCCAGGGGGAGAAATTTTTTACTCAACCCAGCTTAAATGCATCTAATCCTTGGATCACATTCCCTACTTTGTTTATGATTTTCTTTAGAATAACTTCCGCAATTTTAGCTTACAATTCAGCTCACCGAAATATATATTTTTTTCCCACCTATCTAATTCACACAGGTAAAGAAATTCTTTCTGGGTATAAACTCAATTGAAGAAGTACCACTCAATTTGATTGCTCCAAATGTGCTTGAGTTACTACACCAAGGAATCGGATTAAACACAACTCAGCCACCTTCAAGTTCAACATCTACATCTTCCCTGAGTTCAACCGAAAGCGCTATTATCAATTGGGCAACCAGCAAATTAGAAATGAACATAGAAACCCTGGTGCATAGCTGCAATACTCTTGAAACAGAGCCGTTCAACCCAATCGAGAAGACCGGTGGCGTGATGATCAGGAAAAATGATGAGAACTCAATCCATGTACACAAGAAAGGGGCTCCGGTGTTCTCGTTGCTATGAAATCACAGGAAAAGACAATATCATGGACAAAACCACCAGGGAGCTGTTGGAGCAGAGGATCCAAGAAATGACAGGGAATGGCCTGAGATGCATTGCCTTTGCTCATAGAAAAACGAAAATAAACGAGTACTTGAACTCCTCCCCGCAATTCACCTTGTTAGGGATTGTGGGTCTGAAAAATCCACTAAGAACTGGAGTTAAATATGTTGTAAAAGAGTGCCAAAGAGCTGGAATAAACTGCAAGTTGATAACAGGGGACAGCATTTTAACGGCCCGGACCGCGGCTTTAAGAGGTGGATTTCTTGAGCCTGATTATCAATCAGGGCATATAGTGGAAGGAGAGGAGTTCCAGAACTTCAATCTAGAAGAGAGAATGGAGAAAGTTGATCAAATCCGCGTATTAGCAGGAGCTACTCCTTACCACAAGTTCCTCATGGTTCAAAGCTTGAAGGCTAATAATAAAGAACGAATGGTGGCATATGTTGGTGGAGGCCAAGGAGATGCTTATGCAATCAAAGAAGCAGATGTAGGCATATGTTTTGGGACTGAAGGCGTGCCTGAGATCCTGAAAGCATTTTCGGATATCGTGATTAAGAAAAAGGACATGAATCTCTCTCCCGTGATCGAAATTCTGAAATGGGGCAGGGGATTTTATGACAGTATCCAAACCTACACTCAGTTCTTGATCACCGCGACTTTCGTTGATCTAGTGATTGATTTTGTGATGACCATTTTCCCCAATGGGTTCACTCTTTTGTATGCAGTTACAGACGTCACTTCCGGCGAAGTAACGATACCGGTATTCCAACTCCTGTGGGTGAAGCTGATTTTAGGCACAGTTGCGGCTCTCTCTGTACTCATGAAACAATCCTCCGACAACCTGATGTCGAAACCAGTGAGGGGTCCAAATGAGCCTTTGATGACTGATGAGATGCAGAGAAACATAAGCGCACAGGCGGTGTATCAGATCATAGCTCTTCTGGCCATCCATTTTAAAGGGAAATCTTGGCTGGAACTGAATGCCAACGAGAAGAACACCGTGATCTTCAATACTTATGTGCTCTGCCAAGTTTTCACCCTGATCAACGCCAAGTTGTATGATCGGAAGAACGTTTTCAAGGCGATGCAGTGTAAGAAACGGTTCTGGGGAATCATTGTGATAATTATAATCCTTCAAGTGGTGATGGTGGAATTTTGGAAGAGCATTGCTGGTACTGCAAGGCTGGATTCCAGGCAATGGGGGTTTTGCCTTTTTATTGCTGCATCTACCCCTATCAGCTTGCTCCTGAGGTATAGGTGTTCTATGAAGATACCTTATCTTGACTTTGCTCCAGCATCAAAGCCAAAAACTGAGTAAATAAACTTCATAATTGTGCTTGTATATATTTACTCTTGTTTTCTTAGGAATATATGTTTGTTACTCTTAAATGTATATAGTTAAAAGGAAAATAAAAATTTGCTCATGTATGACATAGCTTGTATAAGTTTTAGGAGTATTTTATAAGAACGATCTTTGTAAATATGTGACTTTCATATTTTATATAATTGTATATAAAAGATGTACATACAGTTTTATCAGAGGCCCTACAATTCTATTGACAGTAAGATTTTTTTAGAAACAAAAATTTTCTGTAGATTATATCTGCATTATAAGAACAGAACAAACATATGGGCTTTACTCCGAAAGGTTCCTTTCAATTTTTAGGTAATCCTATTCCACAAAACACATTGTGCAAACTGTTAAGGGCTGTTTTTAGTTGTTAAAATTTGTCTTCATATGATAATAGTATGATTGGCACACTAAATCATCAATCACAAATCATAACTATATGATAAAATATATAGAGGTGCGTACAAGTCACTGTTGTCAGGGTAGACATTTTGCAAATATAAAAAAAGAAGAAAAAAAAATGGAATATATGGAAATAGTATAGGTACGATGAGAATGATGCAGTCAGGTTTCATCCCCCTTTTTCATAGTTCAGTTGCCGGATTTAACAAAAATCCTTTCCTGATGAGTAACCGAATAGGAAAAGACCACGAGACCTGAAGTCAGGATCCAGAAACCGGTGGAACAATGCCCACAAGTTGGTTCATGGAAAGGGTCAGTTCTTGTAAGGTTGTAAGGTTAAATATAAAAGATGGGATTTTGCCAGTTAGGTTATTTGACTTCAGATGTAACTTCTCGATACGGGCCGACTGCCCTTGCTCAGCCAGGATTTCGCCGCTAAGCTGGTTCCTGGAAAGGTCCAACTCATGTAATGTTGAGATGTTAAATATAGATGGAGGGATCTTGCCAGTTAGCTGGTTTGATTGCAGGTATAATCTTCCAATACTCGCCAGGCGCCCTAACTCGGCCGGGATTTCGCCGTTCATTTGGTTCTCACGAAGGGAAAACCCATCCAAATTCGGAAGCTGTGCCAACTCTGGAGGAATCTTGCCAGATAATTGATTTTGACTCAAATCCAGCATCCATAAGTTTGACATGTTCCCAATAGATGGAGGAACAAGACCAGTGAACTTATTTTCAGCAAGTACTAAATTCTGAAGCATTGATAAGTTCCTCCCCATAACACTTGGCAAACTACCTGAAATATTCCATCAAAAGTAACATGAGAAAAAAGATGTTTATCTACCTTTTAAACAAAAAAGAAGTAAAACTTTGCAAGAAGCATATATATACCTGTGAACTTGTTCTCACTTAAATCAATGGTGCCAATGGCACTACAATGTGATATGCTGGAAGGGATTGGCCCATAAAATTGGTTTCTTTGAAGGTTCAGCCAATCCAGAAAGGGATATCTGAAACACAAATCTTGGGGTAAGCTACCAGAGAATCCATTTCCGAAAACATCAAAGGTCTGTAGGGCTGAGAGGTTTGAAGAAGCCAGAGGTAGTTCTCCTGTCAGGCTGTTGTTAGAGAGAGACAGATATTGCAGCGACGACACGTTCCAAATGTCGGCTGGTACGCCTCCTGCGAGATCAAATGACGAAAACTAGAGAAGGTTATTTCGGATTCTTACAATGTTGTGGTACATGATCCGGGTTGTTGGATGTTCAGATTCCACAAAACAGAGAGAAACAGAGGAAAACGAACAAACCTGTGAAGTTATTAGAGTTCAAGTCCATATATAGGAATGCGGTGCAATGTGAAAGAGTAGAAGGGATTTCCCCGGTAAGCTTGTTATCATTGAGCTGCAGGAACTCCAAGTTTGGATACCGGAAACCAAGATCATTTGGCAAGCTACCATAGAATCCATTGATTCCTAAAGTTAACGTCGTCAGAATGGAGGAATTTCCTGAACTCAGATCTAACTTCCCTGCCATCCCAAACAGTAAAACACAATTATGACAGGTGCGACAGCATAACAAAGTGGACTATTAAAATAAGACAGCGAAAGGTAAAAAAAAAAAAAGAGAAAAATATAGAACCTGTTAAGTTGTTGGTCCACAGATACAAGGACTGAAGCGAAGACGTATTCCATATATCAGCTGGAATTCGCCCGTGGATATTGTTATGTTCCAGGTTGAGAATTTGCAGCGATTGACAATAAGACATAGTAGACGGGATATGCCCGGAAAGGAAGTTTCTAAACAAAGACAAAACTTCAAGATTCTCTGTATTCTTGCACATGTCCCAAGGAAGACCCCCTGATAACATATTCCTCCCAGCTTTTAAAATCCTCAGAGAAGAAATATTGAAGAGTGTTTTAGGTAAAACACCGGTAAAATTGTTGTGACCAAGATACAGTTCCTCCAGCTTTGACAGGTTCCCAATGTTTCCTGGAATGGAATCCATAAATTCATTGCCATCCAAAGAAAGGAACTTGATGTCAGAGCATTTGGAAAAGGTAGCAGCTGGAATGTTTCCCCCTATTTGATTCCCTGAGACATCAAAATATTCCAAAATTGGAAGATCACTACAAAGATCCTCAGGGAGAGTCCCTTCAAGTGAATTGAAGTTCAAACTGATGGAGCAAATCGTGGAAATGTTGAAAACGGAGCGAGGGATTAGTCCGCTGAGACTGTTATTATGCAGGTCTAGATACCGCAATCGCTTCAAAGTGCCGATTTGATGAGGGATGGCGCCGCGGAAATTGTTTCGGCTCATATCTAAAGAAGTAAGGAAGGAGAGATTCCCAATTTCTTTGGCTACTATGCCTGTCAACCCTCCACCAGATAGGTTCAACGCTGCAACTCTTTGGAGCTTTTTGTTGTTGCAATTTACGCCAACCCAATTGCAAACTGCGGTGCCTTTTGTCCAATTGCTTGCTAACATATTGAAGGGATCATGTATTATGTGAGCCTTAATGGCTAAAAGAGCAGATTCATCTGTAGTGATGCTCTTGGATATTGGAGTTACGCAAGATAGGAAGCAGTATTGTATTGAAAAAAACAGTAACAATGAGGAGATCTTTGCCATTTGATTATTGTCCTAAGTTAAAACACAAACACCAAGCTTGTGATATGAACGAATAATATACTTTTTTCGTCCCAAATTAGATCTTCATTTCTACTATTGTTTGTTTCAGGACGGAAGGAGTATTACAAAAATAATTTTAAACATGTGCCTGATTTGTTAATGCGGGAGAACGAGTGGTTCCTTTTTAAGTCTTGACTCTTGAGTCGTCCATTGAAGTCGTCCCCCGTTGACTGAAGCCGACTCGCTTAATTGACTTGAAATTCTGACGTTGATGCTGGTGAGTTAAAAGCTAAAACCATTAACTAGGAAAATTTTATTTGCTCTTCAACAGAAAAAAGGGAAACTTTTATTGGAAATTAAAAAAAAAAAAGTGTTGAAAACAATTTTAATAATGGCTTCATAGTTAGTAATATTTGAAAAACAAAATAGCAATGAAAAAAAGATTTCCCCTAAAGAGACGTTAATAAACAAGAGATCCTCCGGATCGAGCGCTTGCAATAATTCCTTGATTTCGGAAATCTTTAGACTTGCTAGGCGCAGGACTTACCATCAAAATCAAGAACAAGACTACAAGATTACTCCGTTTGAATGGTTATTTTGATCGTATTTGAGATTTATATTTTGAGATTATAAATTTACAAAAAAAAACAATATATATATATATATAAAATTCCCGGAAATGATCATTGACTGTCATTGACCGTCACCGAATATTACAACATTGATTAACAATACCTAATAATAACTAGGTCATTTGTTAAAATTATAAAGAATAATGATAAATGCGGAGAAATGTTTATCAAAAGCACATGTTTTGTAATTTTACTCGTCAAATAAATTATCTTGGACTAATCTGAGATCGAAAAACCACACACACAAAATCGTCAAACAAGGAAACTTTTCGCAAAATCCAAGTTCTTTCGCGACTTTAAAATTTCGGTTTTATAGTCAAATCGATCCCTTAACAGACTTCAATGAAATTACATTTTGGAAGAAAGTTTACATTCAGCTGAGACTTACTGTTGACGTTTCAATGGCCTTCAAAATGTTAGAGATTTATATATATTGAATCGAAAAAAAGAAAAAAGAAAAGAAAAAGTGTGTAACTTTAAAGGTCCGAATCTGCTTGCAGTAATGTACATTGCGAGTTACTTTGAGAAAATTTATTTGGCTCGAGAAAAGTGTTGTATGCTATATAGTTAAGAGTAATCTGCTCAAAGTCCTTTACATTTGGCAGAAAATTTAATTTAGTCTTTTACATTAAAAACTCACTTATGTGGTTCATTGTATTTTTCTTTTTAACTAATTTGGTCCTTTTTTTTTTTTTTGGCCCTTTACATTTGAGGGTTCTTGGGCTGACCAATTCTAAGTCAAATCAACAGAAGCATTTTCAGTAATTTATAAATATCAGATTTTTAAAATATATTAAAAACCAAAAATATATTAAAATAATATTAAATATATTATACTAATTTATAATTTATTATTAAAAAGGAAAAAAAATTCAGAATTCAAAATTCAAATATACTATTATTAAAACAATAAAAAATTAAAAAATAAAAAATCAAAATCAGATTTTTTTTACCCATGGACCCCAATCAAAATATTATTTTTTTAATTTTTATTCACCATCACCGGACCACCTCCGCCGCCGGACCGGCAAGCCGGATTCCGGCGAGTTGGCCGGAGTCCGGCCGGCGGCGGTCTGGTGGCGGCGGTGGGCGGTGAAAGTGGTCCAGTGGTAGTGGATAAATATGAAGATAAAAATTAATTTATAATACTAAACATATTATATTCATTTATAATTTATTATTAAATAAGAAAAAATTTTAAAAATTCAAAATTCTAATATAATATTATTAAAAAAATTTTAAAAAATCCAAAATCTAATTTATTTTTTTTTTTACCCGTCGGTCCCAATTGAAATTTTTTACCCTTAAATTATTCTGTTTTTATCATGTGGGGTTCAAATCTAATTTTTTTTCTTTACCCTTATTCATTTTTTTTTTGTGAGTTATTTTGGTGTAACGAAAAAAAATACTGAATAAGGGTAAAGAAAAAAATAGATGTGGGCCCCACATGAATTATTATGTTTTTTTTTGCCAGAATCTGGCCGGCGGTCCGGTGGCGGCTGGCGGCGGTGGAGGTGGTCCGGTTGTGGTGGATAAAAATTGAAAAAAAATAATGTTTTGATTGGGGCCCACGGGTAAAAAAAATAAATCGGATTTTGATTTTTTTATTTTTCAATTTTTTTAATAATATTATATTTGTTTTTTGAATTTTTAAATTTTTCTCTTTTTTAATAATAACTTATAAATTAATATAATATGTTTGGTATTAATTTAATACATTTTTGGTTTTTGACACATTTTGAAAATCTGATATTTACAAGTTACCAAAAATGCCAATGTTGATGACTAAGAAATTGAATCGGTCTTAGGTGGCCTATGGTTAGATAGTTAGATCATTAAAATTTTAGATTTTTTTTTTTTTTGAAAAATGTACCTGCTTATGTTAGTTAAAGGGAGTCTAAACTATTACATTTAGCTAGATTATATGCTATATTATGCATCTCAACTACTACATCCCTAGGAACTTTAGTTATAGAAAAAGAAAGGAAAGACTTGGAAATGGTACTAATCTCAGCAATTAATTCCTGAACTTCAACTGGTGATTGATCAGGAATCAATTTGTTTGCTAAGAACTCACTATCCATAAGCACAAGGATGTGTTGGATGTCCATACTTGCAGCTTCTTGTATGCATAAAGCAGGGTCTGGGCTTCTGCTTGTAGAGGAGTAAGTGCAGGGAATTTTTGAGATTTAATTTGCTGAATCTTCCCCTGATTTGTGGTGATTTTCCATGCTCCCGCCGCTTGCCCATGTGAGGCTATGTTGAAGTCATCCATCCCTGCTTCTCCTCTGTTTGGATCAAATTGCCTCGATTTCAGTTCCATTCTTTCTTATAAAGATTGAGATGAAGGTTGTACTCTTGTTTGATTGTATTCCACATCCTTGTACAATCTTCCTGTCGATCTCCTTGTTGTGGACGAAAAACTTGATTATTTCGCTCCTTCCAAATTTCCCATAGAACAAAGATTGATAACTCAATTGTCATTGCATCAGGAGCTGTTTTGAGCCACTCCATGAACCAGTCTTTGAAGGGGATGGCTTGACCTCTGTCGAAATTAAAACCGAAGCTCGTAACTCTCCAAAGCCTCCTTGATGATGGACATTCCAGGAATAGATATGAAGCATCCTCTGATTGCAACTGACATCTCGGACATAAGTCCTCTTCTATTACTCCTCTTTGTAGCAACCCTTGTTTTGTTGGAAGTGCGTTATGAATTCCTCGCCAAACAAAGAGCTTCATTTTTGGAGGTATCTTAGTTTTCCACAATTGTTTCCACGCACCCTTCTCTTGATTTATGCCAATTAAGTCCAATGGGTGTGCTTTATTATAAGCTACCTTGTAGTCTGATTTAACAGTGTACATGCCATGCTCCGTTTCTGTCCAAAGTAGCCTGTCATCCTCTTCTCTCCGCATTGGATCAATGTGGATCCCCTGGATAAAAGGCAATATCATAGGGGGGAAGATCTTTCTAAGCAGTGATATTTTCCAGGAGCCATTTGCATTAAGCAAGTTGACAACTCTTAAGTCAGTGTTTATTGCCAGGATGGAATTACTAGTAATTGGATTGTCCCTTGATGGGATCCAGTTATCACTGATCTTAATGTTGTTTCCCAAAATTACTCTCCATTTGATCTTCCCTTTTAATAACTCATAGCTCCATAAGATACTTCTGAATCCCCATGACATGGGTGTACCTTTCTCAGGGACTATGAAGCTTTTTCCCTTGTAGTATTTACCTCGAAAGAAGCGTGATATGACGGAATTTGGAGCAGAGAGTATTTTCCAAGCATGCTTGGCGAGTAGAGCTTGATTAAATTCCTCCGTCGATTTGAGTCCTAACCCTCCACGCAATGTCGATTTACACACCGTATCCCATGATCTCCAATTTATGCCTCGACTTTCATTTTTACCACACCAGATGAATTTACCTAAGATCTCATTTGCCTTTTTTAGGGTGTCCTTTGGCAACTTGAAAACACCCATAGGGTAGACTAGCATTGAAGAGAGCGTCGACTTTGCTAATGAGACTCTACCTGGCAAAGATAATAGCTTTGTCTTCCAATCCCCCAATTTGTTACTCAGCTTACTTGTGAACTTCGCAAAAATGAGTCTCTTCTTTTCCTCAAAATCCAGACTCATCCCAAGATATTTGCTCTGAAAATTAGTAGACTGAATGCCAAGTGTTTGATGTAGTAGCTCCTTCTGCTCTTGTGTAGTATTATAACTCAACAGAATTGACTTGGT